AAAAAAAAAAAAAAAAAAAGTCTCTATCGTGTGAATGTACTAAAGTAAAATAAAATTTCCCTGAGATGAAATGTCTTGCTGCCCCACAGAAATAACTATGAAAATATATTCAGATTTTAATTATAATGAATTATAATTTAATCTGACATCCACTTAAAGTAAGTGTTAATTTTTTATCATCAGCTGATTTGTGCTAATATTTTAAGTGGCATATTTCTAAATTTATTTCTAAATCAATATAATCAGAGAACTTGTTTAAAATATAATTCTCTAGAAACATACAAAGATGCACATGAACAGCTTCTTTAGTAATAACTTTCATGTTTTCTTCAAGTATAACATCGCCAATTTTTAAGCTCTTAGGTGTACTGACATTTAATTACTTCAAAAGTAGAGAAAAGGAAGCATTTAAAAAGTAAAAAATCTTTCCAAATGCCCATGGCAAACAGAGGGTTGCTCATGTCAGAAGATTTCTACATTTTTAAAGATCAGACAAGCATTAGTTTAAAAGATTTGCTCCTTTTCTTTCATTCATTTAACTAGGTAGGATATTACTCATGTATTTTTAATTAGGAAGCCATTCACATGAAATAACATCTCACTGAATGCTCTCAGAAATGCTGCTGAGATAATCTTCAGACTTCATTATAAAATTTGTCCATTCCTGACAAATGTCCTCCATGGAGAATTCTTCACCGCCATATTCCAGAGGAAGAATGTCTGGGAAATGCTGATGCAAGCTTTGTTTGTAGTTGTTCCCATGCATATGAATCTGAAATAGCCAAAATGTTTTAGAAGGAATCCTCATTAGATGCATTTCCAGGAAAATCAACCTCATCAAACAAGGCAGTCTAATAACTTTGGAAATTGGAGAGTATAAATAGATTCCTCTGGTTATGAATCTAATAATTTTACTTATGTTTAGGTTGTGTTACTGTGGATCTAATCATCTTACTGTTTCTTGGTTTGCATTATTTTTTAAAAAGTTATTTTCCTCTTCAAAAGTAAATTTTTAAAGACTAAATAAAGTTATTTTATAAATTCTGTTCCCTGATGTGCAAGTGATGCTTACTAAACTAATATCTTGGGACTATTCTATGATGATAAAAATGTACTAGCTGGAATTAATTCATATTAAGTAAAAGCATATAACTGAGCACACAATTAGCTCTATGAGAAACAATTTATATGGTACAGTCGATGGATACTGTTGGCTAGTATAAAGTTAAGAGACAGCCAGGATCAGTGGCTTACGCCTGTAATCCCAGCACTTAGGGAGGCCAAGGCAGGTGGATTGCTTGAACTCAGGAGGTCAACACCAGGTGGGCAACATAGCTGGTACAAAAAAATACAAAAATTAGCTAGGCGTGTTGGTGGGGGCTTGTAGTCCCGGCTACTTGGAGGCTGAGGCAGGGAGAATTGCTTGAATCCAGGAGCGGACGTTGCAGTGGGCCGAGATTGTGCCACTGCACTGTAGCCTGGGTAACAAAGTAATACCCTGTCTCAAAAAAAA